ATAGTAAATACTAAAAACACAGTAATACCAAAAAACATCTGTTTGTTGGCAGGAGTTGAATAGTAAATACTAAAAACACAGTAATACCAAAAAACATCTGTTTGTTGGCAGGAGTTGAATAGTAAATACTAAAAACACAGTAATACCAAAAAACATCTGTTTGTTGGCAGGAGTTGAATAGTAAATACTAAAAACACAGTAATACCAAAAAACATCTGTTTGTTGGCAGGAGTTGAATAGTAAATACTAAAAACACAGTAATACCAAAAAACATCTGTTTGTTGGCAGGAGTTGAATAGTAAATACTAAAAACATAGTAATATGCCAACAAACAGATGTTTTTTGGATGTTTTTAGTATTTACTATTCAACTCCAGTAATACCAAAAAACATCTGTTTGTTGGCAGGAGTTGAATAGTAAATACTAAAAACATAGTAATACTAAAAAACATCTGTTTGTTGGCAGGAGTTGAATAGTAAATACTAAAAACACAGTAATACCAAAAAACATCTTTAATATGTATTCTCAAATTCCATCATCAGTGTTAAAATCTCAAAACAAAAGTTAATTTATAATATTCGACCAACACAAAACAACATTAGATATTGAGCAAGTTTTCATAGTCAATCGGAAGTTTCTAATTTCAGTTAGAAGTGAATATAAGCTAACTGATCCACCCGAGTCTTGTGTGAGAATTACAGTGAGAATAACAACCACCACATACTTGTAGAAAACTTTAAAATTCTTGACTCTGGAACCACAGATTATGAATTCTATATTAAAGAAAGTCTCTCCATTTTCAATGATCACCTAACACTAAATAATAACATCAACTCCTCCCTGTTGTCATTAATTTATTCAATTACAGTTTCTCAGTGTTTTTATTGAGCATCGTTGGATTCTTCACTTTGAATCCTGTTCATTGTCTAAGTCTGACTCTTCAAATTTCTGTTTGATTTTGGATCTGGCAGTTTCAAATCTTTTCTACAAAGGGATATTAATGTTGTACTTCATGTTTCCTTGAAGCTTTTACTCTTATCTGTTTATGCTGCCACAGATAACAGAAGATTGGGGACTGGTGTTAAATCTTTTCTGTCTCATTAATATCTAGATATTTCTCTTTCCTGAAACATGTGAAAATCTTTTAAAAGTTTCTTCATCAAAGTTTTGGATGAGTAAAGGAATTTTGCTCAGTTGTTGCCTCTCGTGAGTTGATGTCCCAGTTAGCTTCTCTCAGTTACCTTCAAGTGTTACTTATTCATGAGTTTTCCATTGTAGGTAATCCTTTTCTTCAATCACCACTAGATCTGGATCTTTTTACCAATGCCTCCCTCCAGTGCAAGAGTGATTTGTTAGGGGGCCTGTTTTCTTTAGGGTCTGTAGTTTCTCAGATTATCCATTCTCACATTGTTCTGTTAGAAATTTGAACTGTTACACAATAATGTTAAAGAGTTCTTACCCACTGCTGTTTCTTAGTACTCATAGACATTTCGACAAGGGGGTTTTATATTAACAGGCAGGGCATGACTTGATCTCAACACAAAGCTTTTTTGAGGGAGTTAACATTGGTTTTGTATATCTAATGATGATTATTGTTCTCCAGAAGTTGCTCCATCAACATTAATGAAATGGTTTGTGCACTTGATTCATCTTGTTTATTATGATGTTCTCAACAAACCTTGAGTGTTGATTTCCAGTTACATCTCATCACATTTGCCATTTGGATATTTGTCTGTAGCCCCTTGGTCTGTTTATCCTTTAGTGGACAAATCTGCATAGTTCTTGCTGTTTTACTTTCATCACATCATCGTATCTTCACTTTGAAGATTCTGTTTGTTACTTGTATTTATTCTCCAGGCTCAATGGAAATAATCTGTTTCTTATGAGATTTTGTATATTCTGTCCAAGAGTCATTTTAACCATTTCCAGAGTGTCTGGGATTGTGAATAATTTTGACATCTAAACAAATAGTACAAAAAAGAAAAAATACAATAATTAAATACAGTTTCTTATGTATTGAGAATCTTTAATTATATTGACTCATCCAGTCTGGACTTCAAAATGTTCTTTAAACACCTGCATTTGTCCTACCCATAAGTTAAAAAACAACATTCCATCCTCTACACTGAAGCTCCATGAAAGGATGCTACCCTTTGGAAGTGTAAAAATGGTGCGATCTGATTGCTGATCATGGCTTAGCGGGTACCTTTCTTATGTTTATTTTTGTGTCTTTGCATGGCATTAGAGATATTGGCAACAAGACTGCAGTTATCACTAGATGTGTCAAACCATGTGTTTATGTATTTTTTATCAATGTTTTCATTGCATATTGTTGAGCTCATTCTTGAAAACTACTTTGTTCTTTCTTCAGTTCTCTCCGAATGCCCACTAATTTGGCTGGCTGTGCGACTCTCTGATCATTTTCAGTATCAATGAAAGGAGCTATAGCCTTTGTAGTATCTCCTATCATAATATGTCTGGACTGCTCCTCCAAGAACCTTCCACTGCAAGAGCAGGGCATAGGGTTATTCCTACCTGTATCCCATTGTTAGCTTCACCAGTTTAATTTCCTATACCACTCACAAAATTAACTCATTTGCCTGAATTAAAGGGTGCCATGGATGAAGAGGTACACTGCTGAAAAGAATACCTTCTTTCTGAGGTCCGGTCTTTATAAGCCTAGTATGCTTCACTGATTTTTCCTCAAATCCAGTTCTACAAATTATTTTCTGGTTCTTAATTGTACTGTGTCTCTGCTTGGCTATATATTTCTTATAGTCTAGATTATTATCGTCATGCCTTGTATGTTGTAGTTTTATATTTTTCGTGTTTTTTTTCATGTTCATTGGTTACCACATTTACAGTGTGGGTATTTTGGCTTTTAGTTTTTCAGTCTACCTGATATGAATTTTTACATTTTTTAGAATTAAAATTAATTTCAAACCTTCCCTTTTCATTCACTACAACCAATTCTAATCATGAATGCAACTTTGAATCAAATCTAAATTATTACAAGAAAGTACAGCTTGCATAAAATCCCCTGGTGCTTTCACAATAAGTCATGTGGGAGAGTGGGGAGTTATGGGTAAATGATCCTTGATCTTTAATACATAAAGGATATTCAGAAATGTTTAGTTACATGTTTTGTTGACAGTAGGAGTTCACACTCAACAGGGTGAGGCTTTCAGCATTTCAGAGGTAAGTACGTGTTTGAAATTAATTTTAATTCTAAAAACTTTACAGCTTAACTTCTTACTGTGGTATCTACAATATTTCCTTAAGACCTCAATGTTAATATAATTTTTTTAAGTAACAGAAGCACAATTGTATTAAGTTGAAAGATTTGATTAATATTTCTTTCATTTTGTTCCAGATAGTGCCAAAAATAAAAAAACGAAATGGAGACAAGAATGGTGCTGGAGTTTTAGGTAAATCTGTTAAACGAATAGTATATTGAAAATTCAGATAAGAGTAAAATACAACCAGTTAATATTACTTAATGATTTTTTTCACACACATTTTAAACAAGCACTTAAAAAGTGTACTTTTGATTTTCGTTTTTTTCCTACCTTATACAAGTAATTTAAGTTGTTTAAAACCTTTATGTATTATTTAGAAATTAAACGTGTATATATGTACAGATACACATACATGTTCTAGTTCAAAAATAAATACAGTAAAATTTTTGTCTGTGTTTTATAGATCTTGATATTCTGATTGTATTGCATCTTTTTAATTATATGCAAACTTCAAGCTCAACACAGTTATTGTCTAATTAGGCTTTACATTATCAAATATCCAGGGGTCAAGCGAGATTCAAAACAGGGAGAAGTCATTTTTCTTACAAGGTGCCAATAGGGAGAAGTTTTTGAAAATAGGAAGACTTCACATTTCTTTATCAAGGGCATTCACAATGCAAAAAACCAAGAAACACTGTTTAACTTTCTCCATACAGGCTCGGTCGATTTAACCGACCACATAACCTCTTTGTACTTGTTTAAAGTCTTTATAGATTTGATACTAATAACATTTAACATAGTGCATGTATCTTTAGGAGATTTGGCAATCTTTCAGTAAACATTATAATTATAAGTCTTTCACACACAAAGAATCATATTTTTTAGTGAAGTATTTTTAATAAATTAAAAACAGATTTGTCCATGAATATATCAAGTATTTCAACGCTATTTGTTTTGAATAGTCCATGTGCAAAGTAATTTTCATGGTAACCCTTTCCTGATGGGTCATGGGTGAAAGGCCATGTCATTGCGTTTGTTGACTCACATTCAATATTTTATTGAACTACTATTTCAGGAATTTATGTCAGTAAGTTTGGTATCAAACTAGATTATAATTCGAGTTTCAGAATTATATCTTACTCAATTTCTTAATTTAAAAGTAAATATTTAAAAAAACAGTTTAACATCAATTTTTGTGTGTCATGTGGTATGTTGAATGCAGCACTGTTTGAAATTAGATGTTTGTGATGTCAAAATACTAAGTCTATAGTTTCGTACGAATTAAGAACTCAAATTACCAATATTGACAAACTATAATATAAAATAAGAACCTCTCATCTTTTCAGTTTGCCAAGATATTGCTCATGTAATTAATCAAACACCGTGGCACCATGCCCACCTCTTTCCATTTTTGGAAATGTTCCCTTATAAACACTTGTATATATATGACATGAATAACCAATCGGAAGCTCAGAATGTCCCGCTAGTGGCTTTCTCAGCCATCTTAACGTGTTTGGATGCCATCTCTTTCTTTCAAACCAAGATTTCAAGTAGGTAGGTTGTGTCTTTAGTCTGCACAAAATTTCATATTTTTTAGACTGAAATACAGCTTAGTTACTAAGCTTGATAAATTGTAGTGGAATTATATGGTATTCATATAGTAATTTATGATTTTTTGGTAGTTCAACTGTATATATAAAACAAAAAAATAATTATTTTGTTTCATATCCTCCACGTGCAAAATTTTAAAAGGCTTAGCAACCTATATCAAGCAACAATCGAGTATAAAGGTCATAACTAGAAGAGATAATTGTTTGCTTTACTTCTTTATTTACTGTTATATGTTTTAAGAAGTGTGGCTGTATTTTACAAAATACTAACCCACTAAAACACAACCAATACAGGTCACTTTGTAAAGACTAATGGTCAGTTTTATATTATTGGATATAGTAACTTGAGTGCATGTGCGCCACATCATTGTAACTTCTGTATTTTTAGTTAAGCATGGCTGAAAGGTCAATATAATAAAAATCATAAATATATAATATTATGAGATTTAAGCTATTTAGTCTAAACACTTATGTTTTTGTGTTCTAATTTGTTG